CCATTAAGAGTCTTCATCTTCCTTATCCCTATATTTTCGAAGCATTCTTTTTTCCAAGAAATGGACCCTTCTAACAATATGCCTAAAATAAGTAATGAATCATATGTGGCTTGATGGCACATAACAGCAACAACAAAAGAGGAAGTTTTGATGGCAATATCATTAGTTGTTTAAAAATAAAATAGATCCATAGACATATATATTTTCTGGAATGTTAAAATTCATTTGCAGAGTGGAGTATGCTCAGGGTGGGGGTGGGGAGATGCTGGAGGATTGTTTATCAATGAAGGAATTTTACTTTCCAAGAAGAGTGAACTGGGGGTGGGGGATGGGTGGGGAGAAAAGAGCAACAATTAATCAATGGAAATCCAAAATCCCTGTAAGTGTTCATTGAAATTAATAAAAAAAAACAACCCACCCAAAACTATTTTCTTCAACTATTACTGATATTTGTCCTGTAAAAAGATTCTAGAATACAATTTCTCATTTGGTAAATCTGTAAAAGCTATTTCACTGAATTGACAACTTTTATCTGACTCAAAAAGAACAGATTTCTTGTTATTAGGTATTAATATTTCATTTTGTATACTTGATATTTGGAAGTGTGCATGTATGTCCAGAGTATGGTATTAGTTATTATTTTTCTTTAATGAAGAATGTTTCTTTTGGCTATTATGTTACCTTGGAGAGTCAAATCACTTAGGTTTTTTCTAGTTCTAAATTGACCTCATAGGTAAGGAGGTGCATTGCCAACCCAAAGGCAGGTGATTTGACTCCACCAGAAAGTTAAGCATTCTCCTCCCATGTGATTAACAGCCACTGAAAACCTGTTGGAGGGTTAGTTATGAGTCATTTCTGACTCAATAGCAATTAATGAATGTGTGAGTGAGTGAGTGAGTGGAATTGTGACTTAGTGGATTTGACTCATAGTGACCATTTGCACATTAGCTCTAAAGCCTGCCCTATACTGAGCCAATCTCATCATCTCTGACAGACTTAATCCCATTCCTCCAGTCACTGAGTCAATTCATCTCATACCGGTCATCCTCTCCTGTGCTGTCCCTCTGCCTTTACAAGCATGATGTCCCTCTCCAAGGACTGAGACCTCCTAACCACGTGCCCAAAGCATGAGAGAAGGCGTGCCAAAATCTCTGCTTCCAGGGAGCAGCTTGGTTTCACCCTCTCCAGGACAGACATGCTGTACTCCTGGCAGTTCATGGTATGTTCAACATTCATCTCCAGCACCACAGCTTAAAGGCACTGATACTTTTTCTATCATCTTTAGTTATTGTCCAACTCTAGAATGTATAGCTAGCAAATGTAAAAACCATGGCCTTAGTGCCCAGACTGATACCATTATTCCTCAATACTCTAGAGAGGTCCCTGACAACAGACTATCCCAATCCTACTTGTCTTGTGATTTCTTCACTGCTCGTGCCAAGAGTATAGACTGTGGAACCAAGCAAGCTGAAGTTATCAACAATCTCAATCTCTTCTCCATCCATCATGAAGCTGCTAAGTGGCTCAGTGGTGAGAATCTTTGTTTTCTTGATGTTGAGCTTCAATCCATATTGAAGATTAAATTTCTGTTGCAAATGCCTCATGTCTACTTCAGTTTCAGCAAGCAAAGTTGTGTCATCTGCATAACACATGTTATTAATAAGTCTTCCTCCAATCCTGATGCCACATTCTTCTTCATAAAGTCTAACCTTCCAAATTATCTGTTCTGTATATAGATTCAAAAGGTACAGAGATAGGACGCATCTCTGATGCACACATTTCCTGATGTTGAACCATGTAGTGTTTCCCTGCTCTATTCTAACTACTGCTTCCTGGTCAAAATATAGCTTTCACATGAACACACCAAGTATTCAGGGATTCCCATTCTTCCCAAGGTTAGCCACAATTTGATGTGATCCACACAGTCAAATGCCCTTGCATAGTCAATGAAACACAAATAGACATTCCTCAGGTACTCTCTGCTTTCGGCCAAGATCCATCTAATGTTGTCTATAATGTCCCTAGAGCTATGGACTCTTCTAATCCCTGCCTGCACATCTGAGAGTTCAGTGCTGATGTACTATTCTAGTTGTTTGGGGTTTGTTTTGTTTTTGTTTTTAAATTTTATTAATTTTAATGAACATTTACAGAGATTTTGGATTTCCATTAGTTCATTGTTGCACTTTTCTCCCTGTCCAACCCCCACCCCCAGTTCGCTCTTCTCCTTGAAAAGTAAAAGAAAAATTCCTTCATTGTTATACAACCTTCAGTAGTATTTACTTGCGTGTGATACTAGTGATACTGTTTGATAATTTCCATACTCTGTTGGGTTACCTTTTTTATGAAATGGGAATAAATACAGATCTCTTCCAATCAGTTGGCCAGGTACTTGTTCTCCAGATTTCTTGACATAAGATTCCTCTTAGTAAGTATAAATTCCAGTGGCATAAACTTCACAAAACTAAACCAAGTGCTATTGTATTGATTTTTTGTTTCTGGTGTCCCTATAATTCATAAGGTGACTGCCTTATTGAGTTTCCAAAGTTGTAATCTTTACAGAAGACTTTGAAACACCTGTCTCCTATAGCGTAGCTGAGAGGGGATCAAAATCTACTATTGATTTAGCAACAGAGCTCTTTACGACTGTGCCACTTGGACTCTGACCATGAAAAACAAAAGCTATTGGTTCACTTAAGTTAAAAAAACAAAAAATTAATGATGCAATGTTATTGTTTGTTGTTGTTATGTGTCATTGCTTGTGACTCATAGCAACTCTGTGTACAACAGCCCTAAATCTGCTCTGTCCTGTGCCAACTGCACTGTCTCTAACACTCCCATCTTGATTAACCCAGTCACTGAATCAATCTGCCTCATAGAGGGCCTTCCCCTCCTGTGCTGTCCCTCCACCCTCCCAAGCATGAATCCCTCTCCAATGACCAGTCCCTTGTTACAACATGTCCAAAGTATGTTAGAGGGATCCTCAGAATCCTTGCCTCCAAGGAGCCGCCTGGCTTAACCCTCTCCAGGATGAATCTGTTTGTTTTCCTAACAGTCCATGGTACCCTCAATACTCTAATTGGTGAAGGTTAGTTTTGTCCCTATGAAACTATAGGAAATATCATGAAGTTATGCAAAAAATGGAAGAATTGAAGGCAAAATAAATAATATATACTTTGTTCATAACCATTTATCTTGATTATTAACCTCATAGTCTTTCGTATCTAAATTATTTTAATATTAATAGAAAATTAGTGCAGGTTCAGGCACTTAAAATTTTATTTTTACTTACCATCGGAAGGAATACTGTGATATTTCTGAATGATAGATAAAATAGAATACTTTTAGATTGATGATAACTAATACTGATAAGAGATGGTAATATGTTGTTGTTGATGCCATTCTTAAGTGCTGTTGAGTTGCTTGAGACTCATAGCAACCCTATGTACAACAGTTCTGCGCCCTGCTTTATCCTTTGCCAACTTCATCATCTCTGGCACACCCAGCCCAAAACCCTCAGTCACTGAGTCAATCCAACCCATCTCCTCAGGTCTTCTGTTCTTGCATCTTCCCAAGCATGATGTCCTTCTACAAGGACTGGTTCTTCATTGCAACGTGACAAATTATGTCAGACGGAGCTTCAGAGTCCTTGTTTCCAAGGAACAGCCTGGTTTCACCATCTCCAGGATGGACCTTTTTTGTTGTCCTTGCAGTCCATGGTATATTCAATAAATTCTTCTCCAGCACCCTAACTCAAAGGCGTCAATTCTGCTTTTATTATCCCTAGTCACGGTCCAATTTTTCTGATGCCTAGCAAGTAATTGTGAAGACCAGGGCCTGGATCAGGCACACCTTAGTCTCCAGACTGCCACTGTTGCTCTTCCGTACTCTGGAGAGGTCCCTGATGGCAGATTTTCCCAACACAATTCGTCTTTTGATTGCCTAGCTGCTGGTGTCAAGGGAGTTGATTGTGGAGCCAAGCAAAATGAAGTTGTTAACAATATCAATCGCTTCACCATTTATCATTATACATGTTAATATAGCTCAACAATATATAAAGTTATTCTGCTAATTACAAGCGAAATACATAATAATAAGTACAAGCCAGATATATAAGCTTGTACTAAGTGCAAAGCAAGAAATCTATTAATAATATCAAATATTATTATATTTTAAAAAAACAGCCAACCAACCAAAATTATTATTTTAGATGCACCATTACAGAGGTTATTAGGGGGAAAGACCTATGTTGAATTTGTAATTGGTAGATAAATAAGAATTTTAAAATAACAAACTCATACTAAATCATTAACTCCTCCCATACAATTTACTCTCTCAGAAAACCCTTTGGAGGATCAGCTATGAGTCGATTCCAACCTGAAAGGACACAGCACATTAAATCATAATGGAACACTGTTAGCATACTAATGCATCTTTATTTTCAAATGTGAAGTGCTTTCTATAAAGAAATATGCAAAAAACTATATTCACATTGCACAAATATAATTAGCTAAAATACTCAAAATAATTAATCTGGAAACATAAGACTTTTCGACTCTAGAATATTGTTTTCAGGATACTGTCAAGAAGAAAGATTTGGCAGTCCATTAGGTAAGGAGTTGTGCTGCCAACTCAAATGCAAAGCATTTCAAAACCACAGTTGCTCCAGGGAGAAAGACAGGCAATGTCTTATCACGCATTTACTCTGAAAATTTGCCACTGGTTCACTATGAATCAGTTCTGAGTCAATGACAAGGAGTTTGTAGTTGAATGAATGATTAAAGAAAGTGTTATTTTTTTTCCTTCGAATATTTTTTCAGATCTTGATGCACTTTAAAGACTGTCTTTTAAAATAAATCACTTAATCATCAGCATAGAATTACACATTGTTAAATATTTTATGGCAAAAAAACCCCAAAATATCATATTCTTAAAATCTATATAATTCAAGTTACTACTAGAAAATCAGCATTTCCTAATAGTTTGAGATATCTGTTCCTTACCTGCTTATGTGCATGGTCATAAGAATTAATATGATTGTCAAACTCCTGATGCTTATAGTACTGCTTGTCACAGAGTTCACAGTAGAAATTGGCCTTTAGGTCCTCCAGAGCCTTTGCTATGGTATTTTCCTTCTCAGCATAGTCCTGGAGAAAGAAATTCCAAAGAAAGAAACAATTAGCCCTCCCCAGAATTTAGATTATTCTGACAGTTATCAATATAATATTTAGTTATTAACAGACTATAACAAGGAAAAAATAAAGCAAATAGCAACAAACTCAAATAAAAATAAATTATGAGATAGAATATGCAAATGATTAATAGAAGAATTCAAAATAATGGAAAGATAATACAAAACAGATACAAAGAAAAATGGTGATTTTTTAAATAGATAAGTTCCTATTCTATTAGAGCACACAAAAGTAAAAATCATATAGATATGCCGTTTCAGCTGTTTATTTTTAGTAATAGCCTAGTGAACACAAAACATCAATGCCTAACAACACCCAGTATGGGTCCTCTTTGAAGATGTTTTCATTGAATAAATAAATATTCACGATTTTATTTGTATTTGTTTCTTAAAATAGTTCTATAATAACTTATAATAACCTTAGTTGGTTCGTATTTGAGGAAATGTTTTCATCTTGATCTAGATCAATTTAAACTACAATTTAAAATACAGGGTCTGGTCTTTGGAAAAGTGGATACTAGTTGCATACTTCCTCACTAACTTAAACTCTATGAGCTGTTTTCATTCTTAAACCATAAAAGAAAATTTTTCTTATGCTTGATAAGCATGACTAATATTTTACTATATAATTAAACCCCTGAAAATGGAAAATATAAGTCATCTTGAGCTGAGCTTAATCCTAGGCATAGATTTTATTTCCTAAGATGTGTTGCCAACCCAAAGTCACATACACAGTTTGGTCTAGATTTCCTCAAAAGAAATATAAGCAATTTCCTCAACTGTGATTTACAGCCTCTGAAAACCTGCTGGAAGATTAGTTATATATTGGTTCCAACTTAACAGCATATAACAATGACAAAATTTTTAACTACTTTAAAAATAATTATATCCTCCTCGATGATATGGTAAGACAATGTCTTAGTCAATGAGGTATAGAGAGAAAATGATATTGTCCTTAAAGGCAAGAATTGTAGGACATTTGTGTCACATTCAGTGGACATGTTATGAGAAAATGGACAGTCCTTAGATAAAAGCATCATAAATGTAAAAGTAGAGGGTTAAAGAAGGAGAGAAAGATCCTCTAGATGATGCAAATGAATGCTGACTATAACTTCTTGTGAGGGTGGTTCAGGATCATGCAAGTTTTTGACTTGGTTAATATATAGACACAAGACTTGGTGTCAGCTCGACAATACCGTAACAATAACAGACACACAAGTGTGTATAGTCTTCTTTGTTTTAGTACCACTTATTGCTGGAAATACATAAGATGTACTTTTTTATTATAGTATTCACAAGAGCTCTCAAGAAAACTCCAATGTACAGTGACAATGCATGCACTTTCAGCTGAAAGTAGAAGAGGCTCCCTGAAGAATGTCTAATTTACTGTAAGTCAAACGATGTCAGGAAATGAAAGCAGAGTGTGATGGTTTTTACGTTTCAGGATTAAAAGAGCACTATATTTCTTTCAAGAATAAAAGAACAGTATGCTGAAATTGAGGAAGACCTGAAGCACTTGCTGCAGAAGATCAAGGATTACAGCCTTCAATGTGGATTGAAGTTCAACATCAAGAAAACAAAGATTCTCATCATTGGGCCAAGTGCAGCATCATGACAGACGGTGAAGAGATTGAGATTGCTGACAGCTTTAGTTTGCTTGGCTCCATAATCAACACTCTTGGTACTAGCAGCCAGGAAAATCAAGAGATATTGCACTAGGAAAGTCGGTTGTCAGGGACCTCTCCACAGTACTGAAGAGCAACAACATCAGTCAGGAGACTAAGGTGTGCTTGATACAGGTCATAGTCTTTGCAATTGCTACTATGCATCAGAGAGCTAGACAATGACTAAGGATGATAGAAAGAGAATTGATCACTTTGAACTGTGGTGCTGGAGAAGAGTTTTGAATATACTGTGGACTGCCTGGAGAACAAACAAGTTCATCCTAGAGAGGGTGAAGCCAGCCTGCTCCTTGGAGACAAGGATTCTGAAGCTTTGTCTGACATACTTTGGGCATGCTGCAAGGAGGGACAGGTCCTTGAAGAAGGATATCATTCTTAGAATGGTGGAAGAACGGAGAAAGAGAGGGAGACCATTAATAAGAAGGACTGATACAGTGACTGGGGTAATGAAGTAAGTGGGTTGGAGACAGTAAAGTTGAAACATGATAGAGCAGATTTGAGGGCTGTTATTCATAGGTTCACTATGAGTCGCAAGCAACTTGACAGTACATATAACAAAAACAAGTGTAGAAACAAGAATATTATAATTATAGAAAATTACAAGCCATTTAATGTAGCATGAGAATTTGGAGCATATTCTAGTGGGCTATGAGTGACTCCTGATATTGGCAGGGAAAGAAATTAAGGATTTGCTCAGAAAATTAAGATGTCTGTCCATACTAAGAAGTATTTTATAAATACTGATGGAGAGGTCAGCAAATAAAGAAACTGAACAGCTTTATATTGTAGGGAAATAGTCACATCTACAGAATAGAAAATGAAACAGAGATGAAGTTAGAACTAGAAACAACACAAAAATAATTTGTTTATATTTTATAGAAAGATAAAATAGTAAAAAGGGCAACAATGAATACACAAAGGATGGGAAGGTCTTCTGAGTTCTGACAGGACAGTACCACAGGAAGGTGAATTGATGAAAAGGAAACCAGGTAATAGTGTCATGTAAGTGATGGGCACATAAACCAGTTGTTTCAACATTGATGGCAGACTGAGAGACAATAAAATCGATAACTGTTCTGAATATACTTAAGAGTTAAATTAAAAAATATGATACCGTAACTCCTGGGATATCTACTAAATCAACACAATTGTTGGTGAGTTGTTTATTAAAATTCATTGTCTTAAATTTAGATATGAAGTACTTAATATTCTCTTCTTAGATCTTATTTAACGCATTTATTACATTTCCTTTCAATCAGGTTCAGATGACTTTAGAAATTACAAACCAATATGTTATTACCATCAAATAATAAAATAGTATACTAACTTCAATATATGGTAAGGCTTCCAATTAAAGTTACTATGCCTATTCCAGAAATTGATTTTTCTTCCTCAAAATGTAGTTAAATAGTCACCTAATAGTAATTTAGATTGTCCTGGTCTGTGACTCAATAAAACCAGGCATCAGTAGAATCCTTGGATCACAAAAGATTTTTATGGATTCTTTCAGGGTAATGGAGAACTTTGCACATTTTTAATAATGCATTTTTCAAAGCAAAGGTTTCTGAAGGTTTGTATGTTTGTTAGGAGATATAGCTCAAAAAGATGCTCACAGGAAACTAAAGGAGATAAAAGCAGTAAAGAATCACTCTAAGTAATATGTGTGTCTATATAATAAAAGATTTTCAAAAGGAAAAGGTAGATCCTAAATTCATTTTAGACTAGTACCTCTACTTTTTAAACTCATAATTCCGTTTTTCCCATTCTTTAGCTTTGAACAAGAATTGTCTTGCTGAGAATAAAATAAAGTAAAATAATAGCCCTTAAAATTTTTAGCTTTTATACATTCTTAGAAAATATTTTCTCAAAGAGCAAGCATGGCACAGTAGGTGTCACATTACAGGGGTTCCCAGATGCCTTATAAAAATCATAATACAAGCATAACTTCCAAAATAGGAGAAAAAAACTATCTAAGAACCTGCTGTCCCTCCTATTAGTCCCAGCAGATTCTGCCCCGTGGTTAATTCTGCTTCGTCTCCAACTCCAAGTAGGAGTGCTGGTGTGTGCAGTTGATACATTGTTAACACAGCAGGAAAAGCCCATTTGGAAATAATCATATGTTTCAGGTATCCAGAAGAAAAGAAGTATTTTGAAAAAAGAAAAAATTTGACCTAAAAAAAACCTTACAACTAAAATTTGGATGAAGATGACACAATGAGAAAAGAAAGGTCATTATGATTTACTGACTGTCACAAAGGAGCACTTTACTCAATGTATCTCAGTAAGACAGTATTAACTTGAGTGAGAATTGTTATCTCATTTTAAAAATATGAAAGCAAAACACAGTAATAATACTTTGTTCAAGATCCAAAATCTTATACTATTAAATAGTGGGGTCTGACTTTTATTTGGCTCTTGCTAAGCTATCTACTAAAAGTCTTTCTGGTTTATTTAGATGACTTGGTAGTGACTTAAAGAATTAATAGGAAAAATATGTATCTGCAACACGGACACAGATTTTCAAACAAAAGTTTCATAAAAAGAATTCTTTTTACAAGTACAAATTGAATTAAAATTATGGTTGTTTTCATTAGCTATCAAGTTGACTCCAATGCACAACCACCTTGCATACATCAGAAAGAAATGCTGCCTTAATACGCCATGATAAAATAGGAATTGTGTTCTGGTGGTAAGAGGAAACCACCAGTTTTAAGCTGGAAAAAGGATATAGACTCAATTCATGAGAGTATGGATTACAAATTTCTGAAAACTTCTTTCTTTAAACATAAAACTTCATAAAAAATTATACCCAAATCAATGTGTAAGGGGGAAAAAAGAATCTGTTACAAAGATAAATATATATATATATATATATATATTTAATAGAAATATAACAAATGTGGTACCCAGGGAAGGGACAGAAGAAATGACGTTGAGCTGTGTGTTTCTAACTTTTTAGGACTCTAAGAACTCCCTTTTTACTAGTGAGACTTTAGCTCTGGTGGAATTATTCTGGTGTCACAAAGGTATACTGTTCCAATTCTTCAGCTGCTCCACAGAGAAGGAAGGGCAATCTCCTCCTGTGTGATTGATTGTTTCTGAAAACTTCCTGGAGGGTGAGCTTTGGGTTGGTTCCAACTACACAGTACACAACAACAACAAGGAATCATTTGAAAAATAAACACAAACCAAACAAGAAAATAAACAAAATTTGCCATTCTTCCTTAATAGGTCATGGTTTCCACTTTTTAAATTAAAAAGGACAATTATTTTA